TCGCTGGCTAAACTCGAGCTAACCGCTAACTGAAGGCTCCGTCTCCCAGAGAAGTGGTCTCCTGGAGGCGGAGAGGATGAAACGTAAATAATGGTTGTTTTCTCGTTTCTGCCGCGTCGGATTCATCCCGGAGTTATTTTGACCGTCTCTCAGAGTTCCATCAGTTTGGCTGAATGTTGGGTATTCTTGCCCTGCTGTTAGTTAGTTGATTGAAATTAAATCTATAAAATGTTCTTAACTTTTCAGGATCTATATGAAATATTTATAGCTTGTTATTTTGGAGGTATAAGGTTTTTAATCTGACAGCATTATGCAGCAGTCGGCTCCAGTGAAGACAAGCAGCATCCTCACAAAAGATCAATAACAGCATCATAAAATCTTTTCTGTCTTCTGTAGTCTATCGTGGTTTATTCATTTATTTATTTTGGTACAGAAGATGAAGGATCTGTCTGACACTAATCCCAGTTATATTTGGAATTTATCGCCAGACGTTTTTGGGATAGTTTATTGAATATCTCTGAAACAAAACTGAGCAAAAACTGACAAAAAACATTTTAGCTTTTCTTGCTGCGAACTGAATCCTCATCAGGTCTTAAAGGAATCTTTTGACTCTCATGTGTGGCCGTTCCAGAAGACTTTCAAATTAACCTTTATCAGAAAATACACTGCAGAGGTTGACGAATGACATTTGCAGTCATGTGTGCAGGAGAAATAAACACAAAACTAAATATTAGAGGTCTCTCTGATGAGGTAAGCATCATTTAGCAGCTTAATTATGTTGTCCGTGTGGAAGTGAAGTCGGCGGAGCAGATGTGCGAGTTGTAAATTAAGATTCCTAACAAGCAACTGAACTGGTGCTAACCCATAAATCTACCGCTGTACGGCCAGTTTCTCATTCTAGACGATGGTAATCAGGTCCAGCGAGGCAACAGATGGGTGCAGCTAGGAGACGGGGGGGTACCTGCGATGGCGTGAGGGTCTGCAGAGTACTCCTGAACATCCAACACGCCGCAGTCCAAAGACGCCTTCAGCTTCTTCAGTTTGGAGGCCGAAGGAGCGACTCTGAACAAACCCTGAGACACGAAACACGACGAGAACAGTTTTAACCTCCAATTCATTCATGAAGTAAAAGAAGGTATTCATTAATTAATAGGGACTGTACTGAGTATTTCCAATTCATGGTACTTTCTACTCCTCCTCCACTACATCTCAGAGGTACATATTGTACTTTTTACTCTACCTCAGAGGTACATATTGTACTTTTCAGGTAAAACCACGTATATCCATATGTGTTGATGTTTAATCATATAATGTAGTATCTGCAGTATATAATAGTAAAACAGTCTGAAAGGGGCAATTCTGCATAATGAGCACTTTTACTTTTGATGAAGTTAATTTTGCAGGTAATACTTTTCTACTTTAGCAAAATACTAAAAAAAACATTGTTTAAATATTACTTATATCTACTATATTTACATAAATAGCGTCACACGTATACAAATCTTTACATATTTCACATATAAGTATTTTTCCAACGGGCTGATTTTGATTCATATCATATTTGCTCAACTTTCTGGAGATCAGACTCGACTGCTGATGAACGAACAGCTGAGTCGGCAGCAGACTGTTTGTGTGTCCAATAAAGAGTCGATTCATTTCAAATGTCAAAGCGAGCTCTTAAAACACATTGAACTAAGGTGATTAATGAATTTCAAACAAACATTTCTCCGCAGCACATCTCAAAACATTATCCATAATGTTCAACAAACATCCCATTAAGCCTGATGACTGTAGAATGGAGATTAAGTTATTCATAATGATATATTTGCCTTGGAATCTCATAAAGATTTGCTCTGGGAAAACATTTACTGTAGCCTCAATGTGTCTCCATTAAACAATCGTTACATTCTGAGCAATTAAAGCTGCACAGCTCACCGGCTTGATAACGGTTTAAAATGACCGTCACACAATGTGTGTGTGTGTGTGTCCTGTCAAAGACACATGCAGTGTGTGTGTGTGTGTGTCTGTTAGTCTGACCTCCTCCTGCATGCCACACTCCAGCAGCATGGTGACACAGGCCTCGATGGGGAAGGCAATATCTCTCCCGCTGAGTGCTAAGTGCTCCTCTAATGGCTTCCCGTAGCACGGCTTCTCCACCCAGGTCTCTGTCAGGCACACACAAACACACACACACACACACAACATGCATGAAATACAGTAGCAGCTAAGGATGCTAAACGTTTCCTCTCCAAAACAAACAGGAAGTATATTTTCTGGAGGACATTAAAGGGCCCAGACACATATGTTCTCACTCGGCTTCTTTCTCTAAGCGATGACGTCGTGAATGAACAGACTGATATCAGTCAAAGTCAGAACGACACTCGCTCTTTAAAACGGGAGAATTCCTGTTTTGTCTTTTAATCGTTGTTCTTCTTCTTGGTTTAAAGGGGCGGAGCTCTGTTGGGAAAAGGTGATGTCACATATTTCTACAGACCAATCAGAGAGTTTGTGAACTAAATGAATATTAACTTATTAGTTATTTTAACTTATATTACCTATATGAAACGGATATTGCATAAACTGTACATATTTTTTGTGTATATTTAATATAATATAAATAATAAGTGCAATAACAACAACAATAATAATAATTATATAATTCAATGAATAAAATGTATTTAATTATTTATAATAATAATATAAAAAGTAATAGTATTGACAATAAGAAGAAAAATTAATAATAATGACATGAATATAAATAAAAGTAATACTAATAATAAACAAAATAAAATAACATTATTTGTATAGTATTTTAGTGTTGAAGCTCTAATTAAATCAGTTAAATTCCAACAGCAGAACCCCAAACTGTTCATAAACACATGCAAACTAACACACGTGGACGCTGCAGCAGAGTCTGAGCAGGATGCAGGAAGAGGAAGAAGCAGACTGCATCAATGAGTGTGTCGGTCTGAAACTCACCCTGATGAGCTTTGATCTGGGGCAACACGCTCTGGAGCAGCTCTAACGACTTCCTGTGGTATTCTGCCTGGACTTCTATCAGCTAGACAGACGAGAGATCAGAGAGTCTGAGACGGACGAGCACAACATTTCTGTTCCTTCAGCCAAAGTCGGGAGGAACGTCGTACTTACTGTCTGGAAGTAGCTTGCATAGTCAATTTCTTTGGCCACAAAACTGTACATGTCTGCTGATAACTGATCCTGGAGGAGTAAATAAAAGAAGCAGACATTTTGACATTTTTAATTACACCGACGATGGCTTCGAGCTCTTGTATTGTGCACGCTGGCTCACCGGGACACTTAATGTGGCCGAGCCTTCGTTAATGTTATTAGTTATTAGCTGTGACAAAATGTTTGCCGTGGAAAAGGTCAAAACTATTTTCAATTAAAAATCTGCCAAATGAATAGAATAAAGAACTAGAAAACATATTTACATTTAACAAAAAATATTTAATTAGCATTTGAATGTGAAACTAAATTAAAATAGTACATTAGACAGTGTGGACATGCATTTTTCTTTCACGGGAAAACTCGCTAAAGATACGCGATAGACTGTGGAGTTAGTAAACCGTTAGAATGTTACGGCGGTAACTTCTTTTTTACATCCATTACTTATTCAGTCTGTCTTTCAAACTCTCTCATGGATAGAGAATAAAGGCGATCACTGACTCTGCAGATCTCCATGCG